AGTCGAAGCTCTCCTTACGGACACCTCTCTAATACGGACATCTCTCTATTACGGACATCTCTCTATTACGGACAATTCCCTTGGTCCCGGCAAAATGCCCATATATTCCCTATAAAGAAAACCTCTATAATACGGACCCTCTCTAATGCGGACAACGGACACTAAATATCGGCCCCATAGAGCAAATTCTTACAAACTTAACCTCTTTATTACGGACACTCCAGTGATAACAGTTCGTATTCAATATAATTTCCTGTTTGTGGTTACAGATCAAAGTTAATTGTCCCATTGTCCATACAATAAAAGTAGCATTTATTTTCAATCAGTTTATCGACATGTTATTGCCATTTATCTTCGACATTTCTTATCGTCAGAGGAGCCTTTAAAGTGACGTCATATTCATGACCTCCATAATACGGTGTCCGTATTAGAGAGGTACAACTGTACCATCAATATTGTTTCCTAACAATATAGCCAGCCTATTGTGGGAATATCAAACATTATAATCCATCAAAATTTTTTCTCGCGCGCGATTGGTCTAAACACGTCACGTGACGCAGCCAAAACTGGGGAATATCCGGGTGATATTCCCCAAGTGATATTCCCCAGTTTTGAATATTTGCATTTCACGTTCGCAGGTTCAGTTTTCGTCTCAAATAAATTGCTAAATTAAATAAAACTGATTGTTTTGAACAGACTAGAAATATTTTTGAACGCCAACAGAATTATTTTGATGTTTAACAGCTTGGCCGACCGAGATCTTCCACGGCAAACAGAGCGGCCTTGTGAAAAAATATTTGAAGGATAATAACTACAATAGCCTCCATTTGGCTTCAAAAATATGCTCGGATATTTGTCCGCGGACATTATCTGTTCCGAGAAGCGAACAGTTTTCCGAGAGCGAAGCTCGAGGAAAACTGTGAGCTTCGAGGAACAGATAATGTCCAAGGACAAATATCCGAGCATATTTTTGAAGCCAAATGGAGGCTATTGTTTATATAGACTATTGGTAGGAAACAATACTAAGGATACCTCTTAACTTAGGAGGGCTTCTTGAATCCGGCCAGGATCCTAAAAATCGTTACCAGTTAGATTCTTCCCACACGTTTTTTGCTAACGTTCTTTTCGGTGGCTTTGTTTACGTTATATTATTCCAGCTAATTCTCGATACTTCTTGACAACTTTCTGATTGAATTTGACTGACAAACCTAAATTTTAAGGAGTGTGGGGGCAGAGTTCACACGGCAACATGCAACACCGGCGGGAAATTTAACAACCTGTCATGTCAACTCCACCGGCACACTGTTGACATGATTAGTCACGTATTGTAAAGAATATTTTATCATTACCATGACTTGAAGTCTTTCTTCGTTTCCAGAGAACAAATATCACGATGAATACCAATAATCAGTAAAACACCCGCCGCAGCTACTCCAGCATATATCGCAGGGCTCATCCCGTTATCCTTCTCACCATCACCAGTCCGGGTTCCATCATCACCTCCTGAGCCTAAAACACACAGGAACAAAGAAAACAAACTGATCAGTGTAAAGGGCATAGAGGAGGAAGTTTCGAAAGTAATTACATGCAAACAACAACCACCCACCCACCCACCCACACATCCCGTCCCTCTACGTATTGATACATTAGATTGCTTATTAGATATTTTACACAGTTTTTAAATATTTTCAATTTGTTAGTATCTATTTATTTTTTTGTGTCCCCAAATTAGTATGGGATTTTCCCAGGCTATAAGGCATTGACACGTTAATAAAGTTTTCTATCTTCTATCTATCTGTCAATCTTAACAGGGATGACAATTTACAATTTACAACTTCTAACAATTTACAATTAGTTTGCACCCGACCCCACAAGCATTGTCATGCTTTAATTATCATCATGTCAAAATAAAGGTTATTGTATTGTATGCCAAAAAGGTTGCTAGTGAAACATCAGTTTTTTTTAATTTAAGTAAAACAGCTTTATAACCTAATCGCTCGTTTTCTTACGTTTGGCACTGAATTAATGTTTTTGTTTTGAGTTCTCAGGTTCACTGCGTTATTCGCGTTCGTTGTGCTCGGCCAAAGTGATTACTTTGGTTTTATCTTTACGACAGTCATTAACGAACTGCTCTATTGGTGTAGTTTTAGGGGTGTCTCATTACTTCAACCATCTTCAAGTGAAAAACAAAAGCTACACAAGTAAAAAAAAATAACATCATTAATAAACAACAAATTAACGAAATTGCTTAAAGCTTATTGTCTAGACTAATCGCGCTTGGGAATCAATCGCTTTTACTTCGTTACTTACGAAAAAGTACAAGTTAGTACCGTACCATGCAGCCATGAAACATGAGTAACATGACCGTTAATCATAGAGAAAATTTCGCTACACAATCATATTGGACATACCTCCTGTTACCTCGACCCTCTTGCTGTTTCCTTCATCTTTTGAACTTTCACCATAGGTGTTTGTTGCAGTAACCACAAATTCGTACACCTTGCCTTTTTCCAACTTAACTTCCAATTCTCTGACTGAGACGTTCGTTATCGTCTCTAGCTTGTCCCACTCTCGTTGTTTACCATCAGTCACTATTCTTTGGTACACAGTGTATTGTGTGATTTCTCTTCCATAGCTTTGTGGTTCACTCCACTTTAGCGTTATTGTACTGTCTGTTACTTCACTAGGTATGTCACTCATTTCCACAGCTGCTGGGATACCTGATGCAAAACTCTCTTGATCTTTCCATCTTCTTTTAAACTTTCACCAAGTGCGTTTGTTGCAGTAACCACAAATTCATACACCTTGCCTTTCTCCAATTTAACTTTCGATTCTCTAACTTGAATATCTGTAATATTCTCTAGCCAGGTCCACCCTCCTTGTTTACCATCAGTCACTATTCGTTGGTACACAGTGTACAGTGTGATTACTTTTCCATTGTTTCGTGGTTCCCTCCACTTCAGTGTGATGGTATCGTTTGTTACTTCACTGGGCAGGTCGTATATTTCCGCTGTTGCTGGGACTCCTTGGTTAATAAAAAATATCATGATCATTTATCATCAACAAATTGTTATATTCTTGTTGCAAATTCTCCTTGAATTAAATCGGTCATTTGGTATTGCCGTAATTGATTCTAGCTCCGAGTTATTGTTTCAAAATGAGTGTGATTTGCACGAAATTCAATGTGTCAAACTGGAAAAAACTCATTTTGCATCAGGTCTCATTGTGAAACTGAAGCAAACGACAACTGGCTTACATATTGTAGAATATTTTTTATTGCGCGGTCTTCATAAACCCTTTAATCATAATGTATTTTCCTACAAATCTTCATAATGACTGTGCCTTTATAACAGGCGTTATAATCCATCAAATATTTTTCTCGCGCGCGATTGGTTTAAACACGTCACGTGACGCAGCCAAAACTGGGGAATATCCGGGTGATATTCCCCAAGTGATATTCCCCAGTTTTGAAAATTTGCGTTTCACGTTCGCAGGTTCAGTTTTCGTCCCAAATAAATTGCTAAATTAAATAAAAACTATTCGCTTCTCGGAACAGATAATGTCCGCGGACAAATATGCGAGCATATTTCCTCGCCAAATGGAGGCTGTTGTTTATATATATCAATGCTTCAAAACGTACAAGACGAGGAAGTACGGGGTGATTACAAAATAAAATGAAAGGGAATTTTCTTCTCATTTCTTTGTTTCTCAAAGCTTTATCGTTGAATATCCAACGGGACACGTTGTTAGTATTCTGTACATAATTGGAGTAATCACTAAAATTAAGATCATATAATGCGCGCTCTGATTGGTTTGTGTAGTTTTGCACATACATACGAGGTTATGACATATATTACTGCATTTTGTTGCATTATATTTTATAAAATAAATAGAAAACAGCCACTTCTTGTTTACACACCGTAGCAAAATGCAAATTCTCTACAAAGTTTGGGAGCATTCGAAATTACTTATAAACCCTTGCATCCCAAACTTTCTCTTGTGTTGCATTTGAATATGTAATCACTCGTGCAATTTTTTTTAACAACTCCCATTACCAGTTCAGCGATAAAGCCACTGCACAAGAGCACACTCACTGAAAAACTGTCTTAACACAACATTTCCCTACGGAAACTGTGATAGATACAGGTACAGAAAAAAAGTGGGATACCGTATAACGAATAAACCTGTAGATCATATGACTGGACTTCCTCACCTATAAAACTAACCCTGAATTCAAACAAGAAACAGATATTGCGATTGTTTACCTTCATACTTTGTCCTTCATTACTTTTTCTCCAGCAAGTCCTTCAAACACAGCATTCCTGGCAAAAACTTTCACAATGTACTCGGTATTTCTCTCCAGACCTCCAACAGACAGACTTGTTGTACCAGGGTCAGTAATATTGACATTCTTTATTTCATTGCCACCCTTTAGTATGACCACTCGGTATGCTGTGATAGGACTGCCTCCATCATCAGCTGGTGGAGTCCATTTGACTATTAGTGAAGTGGCTTGAATGTCTGCAGCTGATGATGTGATGGTCGGGGAACTTGGTTTCTCTAGGAAAAGTAAAAGAAATTGGGGTAAATAATGTGAATAATATCAGTTTTGGAATCCAACTAAAAATTATTATTGTCTCATGTTATAAATTCACACGTCAAATGACAATTTTTGCAGTACATTTCTCATGGTTAATGTTATTATATTGTTGTTTGTGTTCTTCACTTTCACCAACACAACAACACAACACGATGATCATATTCATTTCACAACCATGTCTTTGCTATAATAAACAAGTCAGATCTAAGTATCAACGTGCCATGAAGATCATGGCTTCGATTCCCGTCGGGGTCTCAGATTTTTTCTTTGTCCCATGCTCGTGACATACAGTTACTTACTACAGTATGACCGAGCTTTTGAAATTACTGATCCTAAATGTAGCAGTATGCAGGACATATGTTACATATGAACCTAGTAAATGACATAGCTCGCCATGAGTGTCCCTGTAGCTCAGTGGTTAGAGCATCCGACCGGTGCGGAAGGTCATGGGTTCGAACCCCGCTTTTTCGGGGACTCGGATTTTTTTCTTTGTCCCACGCTCGTGACAAACTGAATACAGCTACTAAGGCCCAGTTCAGACGCCGTACTTCACATGAGCCGAATCGAATTCGTATTTAGGCCGACCTAAATTAATTTATTATGTTGATTATCAACTAAGAGTTGATAAAGGTAAATTAACCGCCGTAGCGAATTTCTGTAGCTTTAGAAATTCGCTACAGCGGTTAATTTACCTTTATCAACTCTTAGTTGATAATCAACATAGTGTTTCACTTGCCCCGCGACGCAGCACCACAGTTTCATTAGAAACTAATCACTTTGTCTAAATTAATTTAGACCGGCTGAATTGATTCAGACGCCGAGCTTAATTCAGCCGAACTTAGTTTAATAGGGAAAATTGATGTTATACTGAAAATACATTTATAATAATTCATGCATTTGTTTCGGCTCATGTGAAGTTCGGGGTCTGAATCAAATCCGGTCTACAGCCGTTATTCCCGGCTGAGCCAGGCGGGAAGAACGGCTGAGCCGATCCGAATTCATCCAGCCGTTCCGAATTGATTCAGACGCCGTACCTCACATGAACTTAATTCATCGAATTCGATTCGGCTCATGTGAAGTACGGCGTCTGAACTTGGCCTAACTAAATAATGAACAATTTTGAACTTCATGAATAAAGAAGAGTCTAACGACCATTGCTGAGAAATAATTGTACGAGCGAAATTGAAAAGGTACTGATGTGGACATACTTATTCGATAGTTATAATACGTGCGGACATTTACCTCATTGCTCGCATTTTTCTTGTTAAAATACTACGCAACTCCCAAAATATCCGCGCAATTTTTTGTTAAAAAAGCGACGATTGTACAAAGTTTGTACAATCGTCATCAACATTACAAAAACTGTTTGCTTGCATGAACAACATCAGAAAATTAACAGGTAAAAGAACTGGCAGAAAGAAACGTTTTGTCCAAATTATAGCTTTGTAGCGTTTTTCATAACCGAGTTATTGCCAAACTAATTTTCAGAAAATTACAGTGTTTAGTATGCCGCCGCCATGTTTGTGTCGTTCAGAGGGGCACAAATATGGCCGCCATAAAATTGCACAAGAAGTAGAGTAGATTCTACTGTCAATATCATTATCTTTCACTTCAAATCTGTTTAGACATCACTTCTAAATTATTATCACGTCTGAAAATTTAAAAATGATATAAAAATATCCGTTTTTTGTGACAGTTCAGAAACACGTTCATCCGGGGCATCACAAATTTCAAATAACTTTATTTCCAAAAGGAATCACTGGATCGATACCAAACTTTGCATAGAGATTAATGATTTTCATGTCTATATATATTATGTCTATATAAAAAGAATAGCTTTGTAGGATTATCAGTTTAGATTTTAGAATTTTGATGACGTCAGATGAAAACAAAGAATTGACGCAATCTACTTTCAGCTCAGTGTAAAACAGATCTTCATTGAGATTAAATTTTAAACCCTTTCTTTAAACCCTTTGCTTTGGCGGTAAAAAGGTTTTATGTCTTCTCCAGTGCGAGTCATCCAACAACATGTTACCAGATTAAACCAATGACAAACTAAAAATGCTGACTTGACAACTTTCCCTTTCTTTTAAGGTGATGTTACACGAGACGATTTTTAACGGCGATTTTTAATCCATGTTACACGAGACAACTTTTAGCGTAACATTGTTGCGGCAATGGTATGTTACACGGGACGATTTTTAACGCAACATCATCTTGAGCATGTGTACTGCTCGAGCGCGCGCTAATGTGACGCGATGTTGCGTTAAAAGTCAACGACGAGGGTGTTACACTAACCAAATCGCTTTCAAAAACCTGCAACATGTTGCCGCAATGAAATGTTGCGTTAAAAATCGTCCAGCACGCCATGTTATACGATAACGATTTTTAACGCAACAATGTTGCGTTAAAAATCGCCGTTAAAAATCGTCTTGTGTAACATCACCTTTAAAGGTAGTCAAACAAAGAGCACTTACTTATCTGTTTTATATTTAATATCTTGTCATCAGCTGGAGTGAGTCCATTGTTAGCATTGCACTTGTAATCACCAAAATCTTGATCCACGTTCATCTCCACATTCACTGTGTACTCTGTAGCTGTGCTGTTGCTTATTTGACTTCCATCAGGTTTGTACCAGGTGAGTGTTGGTGTAGGATCACCATTTGACACACACTTCAACGTCACTGTCTGACCAATCCAAGACGTGACAGCTGATGGGATGACTTGTTGTATTTTGGGCGGGTCTAAAAAATAACATGAGAAACAAGGAAACAAAAACAGATTGTGATGATTTGTAACAGTCTCACTTCCTACAACTGAGTTGAGCATTGTGAGCCACATTAACCTTCACCAATGAAAATGCAGTTACTTCTATTACTTATTAAAATCTCTGTTTTCTTCACAGGGAGTCCAGGGGCAGTAAACGGTTCTTCTCTAAGGTGGTCTTCTACCCAGAAATATTAAGTTTCTTATGCAAATAATATTATCTGATAACATTAACATTCAAAATATCTAGTAAGCACAGACGCCAGTCACAAAACATATTTAGAAATTATTTTGCTCGAATTTCAAAATCTGGACTACTGGTAGACATTCTTTTACATAGCAACACCATAGCAACGGTTGTTTACAGTCAGAAAAGTGCTGACAAAATAGGCCGATTTCAATTGCACTTAACAAAAATTATTTACCATATTATACAACGAGAACTCTATAATCACTATCCTGAACAATCTTTTGATTTCTATTATTTACGGCAACTATGAACGAGAGGTGCGTATTGGATACAACCTTAAAAAAAAATTCTTTATACCGAACTATACTATAATAAGCAAAGTAAAGGAGAAGTGATCATTGTTTGGATTTTTCATCTCCAGTCAATCATAATAATTATTGACTGTAGTCAATTTTAAAATGATTGGAGGTGCATGTGTGACGAGTGTGACTGATTACTTGACTAAACAATTTTTGGTTGCAGATTTAAAAGCCAACTGTCTGTTAATTTTTGACCTTAGAAAATCAGTTTCTGTAGTTTCAGAATATTGCAGTGTATTGTAAATAAAAGAAGCAATTGTCACGCTCCAATAATTTTGTGAATAAATGCTCCACATTTCGTGAGTCAACTGTTGACTTTACCGGTGTGCGCTACGTTTCTGCTTTTCGTTTTCCGAAGTCGCCATGGTTGTCGAACAGTGAATGCAGGGTAGTATTCCATAATAAGACTCCGCAAAGTGCCCTTATGCATTCTGGGACAAATTCAATATGGCCGAACGTGTCATCGCAATTTTAAGCCAGGAACAGATTGTACATTCAACTTGCGTTTCACACAATAAAATGTACCATGGAAAGACAGCAGCTGAAATAAAAACATTTACCGCACTTGGAATCCGTGCTTTTTACTGTATAGAACTCACTGTGGATGCGCATTCGTCTCAACTTTGTACAACTTAATTTCTTGAACATTTCATAAGATATGAAGTTGGAAATAAGCCAAAGAGACATGCATTCCTTAGAAGGAAATTGGAGGGCTACTTCTCCTCTATGCTGCAACTTTTAATTATCGACAACCAATTGTTTAGAATGCATAAATAATTTGGCAATTTAAATTGCCGTTCTTTAGAAAAACTCAGGAGTCAGTGGGTTAAGCTTTGTTCGTTAGTACATTGTATTTGCTCCTTTTTTATTTCACATAGTTTGCTGTGTTTCAATGGTCATCATCCTTAAGTAGGGTAATTACTATCAGTAATTAAAGGTGAAATAACATTGTTATCTAAACTTTGTTGTGGCGGCAACAAAGAGAATGCAGTCAAAATATAAAACCATATATGATAATGGCAACACCTTACACCCATGAGCAAGTTAATGTTATTGCAACATAATTATAAGTTAGAATTATGTATTACGACTTTATTTGTTCTATTTAAAAATTAACAGATGAAACGACTTTTAAAATTGTGATTGCATTTTATTACATTGTACATCATTACATTACTCAGCAAATTGTTACAGCAGTCAGTACATGTTCAGTCTTCAATTTACATCCTACTCCTAAACTAGATTACGTTGTGACAGGAGTTTATGTTACATATGCTTGGGAGCTATTAAGGACGATAACATATATGGCAAAGTAAGCTGAGTTTAATAAGACTGTGCCTCGCCTTCTATGAGTAATAAATTAAGATTATGTTTCTGTTCAACCAGCACGCGCACTTATTATATTCTAAGTTTGATTGAGGTGCTGCAGCAGGTAATATAACTTTATGCATTGATGGATGTAGACTTACATTGCACAGTAACATATACTGTCACTTTCTGTGCTTGTCCAATTCCATTGCTAGCAGTACATACATATATCCCGGTGTCACTTCTATTACTACTTTGAATATTCAGTTCGTTCAGCACAGGGTTGACTTGTCCATGTTTTGTCCATGTTATAGAAGGTGCAGGAAAACCTGACGCGTCACAACTCACAGCAATGGGATTTGTTTCATTTACTGTTACGTTTTGTGGAATTGCGGTGAACTGGACAGGAACTAAACAGGAGAAGAGTCAAATGAAATATATTAGCTCCAATGACAAGGTTACAATGTCTGTTAAGGATAAAAACGATCCCTGTAGGTGCAGTACCTTCTAAATAAAATGAATTTAACATCAACATTTAGTCCACGTGTGGACTAAACACGAATTCTTTATTATCCTACACATTTACTACATGTATTCGTGTTTACATGGGTTGCATTTGAAAGATACATAGTATGCTTATATGTACATGTTTATAAATTAGTTTGAAACTGTGGTAGTTGCAAAATTGCATGGATTCGAAACATTATTATTAATTGCTTTATTGACTGTAACCAGGGTTAAATGAAAGGGGAAAACAACGCACAACCATCTAATACCAAATAATTATCTTACTCACCGTTTACATTAAGCGTGACAGTGGCCTCTGGTCCATCTCCGACATCATTGTGTGGTA